ATAAAATAAACATATTGACTCACCTAGATCAGATATACCTACAAAGAAAGAGAAGAACAGTTTGAAAATACAAGCACACTTTGGTTAGCGATCATTAAATAGCAACATCCAGAAGAATTAAGAAAAGAGATTACTGGAAAGTAAAATGTTTATTTCCTACATTTACAAAGCATCAGATACAACATACATCAAGGTAGGTTGCAATATTTTAAAAGAATCACTGACATTAAAAGTTATTCTAGTTAGAAGGGATCTGTCACTGTTTCAACACTGCAAATCAACAAAAATCTTCCTACAGGACAGATTTTCTTCCATTATTGCCAACTAAACTTGTTTCTAGAGTATTCCTCCATCCCTGTCCTGAGTTCCAATGCAGGCCTCCTCCACCTTTCAAACACCTCTAGAATTGGTGCTTTTTTTTTCAGGGGAGCTTTGGAACAGGACTGAGATCTTTTGGGAGCTGATTCTCTCCTTCTCCATGTGGTTCTGGGGATAGAACGCAGGCCACCAGGTGTGGCAGCATGTGCCCATCTGTCCAGACTTTTCTTTGGAGAGACACAATACCAGTTCACTTGTACTCATACACATAAGGCACACTTGGCTGTTTCAATTTTCTTTTTAGTTCTTTTTGGTGCTGGGGACTAAGCTTAGGGCTTGCACCTATTAACCAAATGCTTTACCACTGAGCCACCCCCTCTAGCCTAATTCTCTCACACACACCCCCTTGCCCTTTTTTTTTTTTTTTTTTTTTTGAGTAAGGGTCTAACTTATGGAACTTGAATACAAACCAAGCTGATCTCATACTCTCAGAGGTTCACCTGTTTCTGTCTCCCAAGTGGTAGGATTAAAGGTGTGCGCCACCACACCAGGCTCTTTTTACATTTTTGTTAGTGCTGACGCTCCAACCCAGGGCCTCTTGCATGCTAGGAGAGTTTCGATCCACTGAACTACACCCCTAGCTCTCAAAGTGTGTACTCTTACAACAGTGCTTCAATGCACTTTTTGAGTTTTCTTCAGCAAATACATAGGAGCTAAAAGGCTGATTTAGGAGACTATCCATCTTCAGGTTTACTACACTGTACATCACAGTTCAACAAACGAGTTGCACAACAACGATCCCTAGTATCTTCCTATTTATGTCAACTTTCCAGGTACATACAATAGGTGGCCCATATCAGTTCACTCTCAGATGACCGTGGCACCTTAATTTTTTGTTTTTGAAACAATATCTTGTTATGTAGACCTGGCTGTCTTGGAACTCATTATGTAGACCAGACTAGTTTCGAACCCGACTGGATACTCCTGCCTCTGCCTCCCAAGTCCTGGGACTGAAGGTATGCACAACCATGCCTGGCAACTCTAACCACCTTTTAGCTAACTTCTAAATCATCTAGCTAGGCACCACAGTGAATACCTGTAATCCCCAGCACCAAGGAGGCTGAAACTGGAGAGTAACAAGCTTGATAAGAGCCTGGGAAAACAGAATTCTCAAGTGTGCCTTAATTAATCTAGTCCAAAGATTTAAGTACCAAATGATTTGAGTAAGGATATATACATATATATCTTAACAGAGTTCATGCTAAAAAACTACTCTAGGGGCTGGAGAGATGGCTCAGAGGTTAAGAGCACAACCGCTCTTCCAGAGGTCCTGAGTTCAATTCCCAGCAACCACATGGTGACTCACAACCATCTACAATTCAATCTGGTGCCCTCTTCTGGCAGAACACTCTATGTGTAATAAATAAATAAATAAATCTTAAAAAAATAAAAAACTACTCTAACTCACTTGGAATCTATTTTTAATTTTTGACTAGCAAATTAGAATTGGATCTTGAATCATATAGAATTAAACACTAGCTGAGGTTCTGCTCATCATGATTAAAACTAGAGGAGTAATGCCAGTGTTCTATGTGCTACAGCTGTGACAGAGATAAACAATACCCTATACACCAACTGAGACATTCTAGAAGTACTGAGAATGAAAGAGCTGAAGCAGGGTTAGTTTAGTTGATTAGATGCTAAAATCCAGAAAGAAAATTGAAATCAGCTGTACTTACTCATCCCTTTCCATCCAGGAGTGATGTCTGGAGTGATACTGTCCAGCTCTTTTCTAAAGTCATCCCTTGCTTGGACCACAAGTTCATGATACTGAGACACCACCTTAGCCTCTGACTGAGCAGCCTGGACCTAAGCAAATACAAATGTCTCTAGCTAAATGGACCAAAAAGCACCATCTACCCTCTAAAAATCACCCTGACTTAGGTACAAACAATACACAGAAACATGAAGATCAGAAATCAGAAATTAAACATGTTTTCTTTCTTTTTTGACTGGGCTTCTCTGTGCAACAGCCCTAGCTGTCCTGCTCTGTAGATCAGGCTGGCACACCTGCCTCCTAAGTGCTGGGATTAAAAGCATCTCCCATGACACCTGGCTTTCCTTACATTTTTATTTCTTTTATGAAAGCATGCATTATGCCTATGTATATGTCAGTATCCACGGGTCATAGAATGTGATAAGTCAGTGGACATCTTGGACATCTTGTGGGAATCAGTTCTCTCCTTCTACTAAATGAATCCCAGAAATCCAATTCAGATCACTGTCCTTGGAGGCAAGTGCCCTTACGTTGCTACTAGCCCTCCCACAGAAACTTTAGAAGTAGTTAACACTGATACATATATTTTTTACACACTTACAATGAAAAAAAATTACGGAGGTAGTAGGAATCTTATTATTCTCCTGAATTCTCAGAAATGCATTAACAGATATTTTAAAATATAAAATATTACCAAGACTTCAGAAACATACCTTTTTGACCACATTATCCAGATCAACTATCATGTTGTGAAGCTTCCCCTCTGCGGCAGTTATGTGAGGTTTGGCCCCAGCAACCTCTCTTTTCTTTGCATCTTCAATTACACTTTTCATCTTCTCTAACTCTTCTCTGAGGGCATTAAAAAAAAAAAAAGACAAAAATATTAGGGCTCAGGCGGGACGTTGGTGGCACATGCCTTTAATCCCAGCACTCATGAGGCAGAGTCTGGAGGATTTCTGTGAGTTCCAGGACAGGCTCCAAAACAATACAGAGAAATCCTGTCTCAAAAAACCAAACACACCCCCTCCAAAAAATTAGGGTTCAGTATAATTCTTACTAACTTCTTTATTAGAGTTTTGATATAAGTATAAGATAGGAATGGCCAAGGCCATGATGCATGAGATCCGGGCTTTATTACAGACCATTATCAGTTTCCGTGCTCTTACCTTAGTTGGACTGGTTAGTTTTTTTGTCAACTTGACCCACTATAGTCATCTAAGAGAGAACTTCAAGTGAGAACACAAGGCCATCAGACTGACCTGCAGGCAAGCCTAGGAAGCACTTTTTGAACTGTTGACTGATACGGAAGAGCCCAGCCCATTGTGGGTGGTGCCATCAGGTCATCCCAGGTGTATGAGTAACCAGGTTGAGCAAGCCATGAGGAACAAGCAATAAGCAAAGTTCTCCTATGGCCGTTGCTTCAGTCCCTGCCTTGAGTCCCTGCCCTGACTCCCTTCAGTGAGGGACTGCTGACTGGGATGTGGGAGACAAATTAGCCCTGTCAAGCTGCTTTTGGTCATGGTCTTTATCACAGCAAGAGAAACCAAACAAAGATACTAGCTTTAGCCAATTTGTAGGAAGAAAGGTCAAGCACACGGCTCAATAAATTAACCACTGCTGTAGTTCCAGCAAACTGTTATAATATTCTGAATTCTGATAAAAACGGACCAACCATCCCATTGAAATTTAGAAATTAGAATAGAACCATAAAATCTAAGCAACAGTACAATGCAAACCTGACTTTTATGTATTTTTTTAATGTGCATTTTTGCCTGCATGTATGTCTGTGTGAGGGTGTCAGAGGCCCTGAAACTGAAGTTACTGTCTTGAACCACCATGTGATTTCTGTAAACTGAACCCGGGTCCCTGTGAAGAGTAGCCAGTGTGCTTAGTCACTGAGCCATCTCTCCAGCCGCCAACAAATCTGACTCTTGAATGAGCTCCTTTATAAAAATTTCTACTCATTTTATTTTAGCCTAACTGCACGTCATATAGTTTATTCTTTTAAATCTTTGAGTTCCTGGGGCCAGTTCAGAGCACTCATTGTTGGATAAGTAAGGATGGTTCCTCTGCCTCTTTATTTATAAAGATCACACAGAGTAAGTTCAGCCCATAGAAAGCCACCAGGAGGCCCCAATTACTTGCTAAAGTCCAGAGCAATTACTTGGCTTTGAGAAGGGCGTCAGCAGCGTCATCAACTGCCTTTCTTCTCTCCTTCAGGGCACCCTCCACCGTGCGCCACTGGGCCGACTTCTTCTCACCTGCCAGCTAAACAAAAATTTAAGTTATATGAACATAACTAATTGCTCTCACTATCATGATAGGTCAAGACTAAATCCAGAAGTCTGTGCCATTAAATTCAGAGAAAAAATTATAGACAATTTCTCTCCTGAATAGGAATTCATTATCTCACAGGGTTAGGGAGTTTTGTTGTTTGTTTTTCAAGACAAGGTTTCTCTGTGTAGCACTGACTTTCCTGGAACTTGATCTATAGATAAGGGTGGCCTCATAGCCATAGAGATCCATCTGCGTCTGCCTCCGAGATGCCAGGAATAAAGGTGTGTGCCACCATCACCTGCCTGGGTTAGGATTTTTTAATTTACTTATTATTAGATTCTCAAAACAGCCAGGCCTGGTGGCATATGCCTTTAATCCCAATACTCAGGGACTAGAAGCAGATGGATTTTGGTGAATTCCAGTGAGCCTGTTATATATAGGGCATTCTAGGATAGGGTAACACAGATGACATTGGGAATTTCCTTCATCAGCAATTCTCCATACTACATTCCCACTAGCATCTGATACAGCCTCCATTACACAGTCACATTAATTAGCAGTGGAGAATTTAAATTAAGGTTGAAGCTCAGGATAATCAAAGTGACTTCTAACTGTTACTGTGTTCTAGGATCATGCATGATGTTGTTTCACTCATATGTCCAGCCATGGCCCTGCTGCGGCTGAGACCTGTGTTGATCGCCATGGTCCACGTTACCACCAAAGGCCATGCAGATTCCGGGGTCTGTGCTGCCAGTGGAAGACATATCGATGTGAGTGGCCTGTGCTGCCACCTGAGGCCATGGTGATGCACAGAGCCTTGCTGCCACCAAGAGTCATGTCTGAGGCCCTACTGCAGCCAGGGTTTGTGTTGATGTTCGTGGGCCAAGGTACCACCAAAGGTCATGCCAATGTCCATGGTGGGCACTGCTGCCTGAAGCCATCTAGATGCCCATGGACTACGTAGCTGCCAGGGGCCATACTGATCTGAGTGGCCTGTGCTGCCACGCTGATGCCCGTGGTTTGGGCAGCCTATGAGGGCCATGTTGGTGGTCTGTGCTATTGCCAGAGTAGAGGACCATGATCCATAGTTCCCCCTGACTATCAAGAACAAGGATACTACTTTTGTCATGGTATCGATGACTACAGATGCACAGTTGAGAGAGGGATAGACTGTGGAAGGCTTCTATGACAAACCCTATTCTCATCCCAACCCTACCCAAAACAACAACAAAGAAGGAACAACCTAGACAGGAAGCCACCAAAGAGAACTCTTAAAAAGTGTGACAGAGAGGCTAAAAAGAACTCTCCACAACTAATGGCTTCTGGTGGAGGTGTGGGAGGGGAAGGCCTCAATTCTATTTAAAGGGCAAGCCACTAAGAATTTGACCATGTCCCAGCAAATATATAGATAACACAAAGAACTTTCTTTTTTCTTTCTTTTTCCTTTTTTTGGTTTTTAGAGATAGGGTTTCTCTGTGTAATAGTCCTGATTGTCCTAGAATTCGCTCGGTAGATCAAGGCTGGCCTCGAACTCACTGAGATCCACCTGCCAGTCTAGTCTACATAGTGAATTTCAGGACAGCCAGAACTGTTACACAGAGAAACCCTGTCTTGAAAAAACCAAAATAAAAGGAAAATTATATTCTCCTTTAATAGTTCAAAAGGGATGAAAGTAACTTTCAGTTTAGTCAGTCAGCAAATGGAAAGCAGTCAGGATATTTGTCATTTCATTACGTAGGCGTGGGAGGGATGAAAGGTCCCTGATGTCAGGGACCCAATGGACGAATGTACTTCAGAGGGATAGCATTTGGGCACTGTGGAGTGGAGCAGCATGAAAGCCTTCCCTGGTGAAGGTGCCCAGTTTACCACTGAAGAGCACCTTACAGAAGAAGCCCTTAACTAAGATGAGGGGAGGTTAGACCTCTCCTCACAAACATTTGTAAACATAGTTTTCCTTTTTTTTTTCCCACATAACATTTTTACTGATTCTCTGGGCTTTTCACATCATTCATCCTGATTACAATCCCTTCAACTCCTTACCAAAAGAAGTTTTTTTCTTTCTTTCTTTCTTTCTTTTTAAATGTCAGGTGGTGGTGGTGCACACCTTTAATCCCAGCACTCGAGAGGTAAAGGCAAGCAGATCTCTGAATTCAAAGCCAGCCTGATCTACAGATCAAGTTCCAGGACAGCTAGGGCTACACAGAGAAACTATGTTTGGGGTGGGGGGCAGGATGTAAGCTACCTCTCAAGCCAGATAAGTTGCATATACCTAGTAATCTTAGCACTTTCCAAGTAAAGCCAGAATGTGTGCTCTTGTTCTTATCTTGTATTCAACTTTATCCTTAGCCACAGTGAGCTCAGCACCAGCCTGTGATACATGAGACCCTGTCTCAAACAAACAATAAAATTAAAATAGTTTATCGAAAACACTGTTTAAAAGTTGGAAACTACATTTAAACATTTTACTGAAGACATTACTATCAGGTCATGTATCAGCTACATAATTAATTATCACCCTGTATTACATGAGACCCTGTGTCAAAAAACAATCCCCCCTCCTCCCCCAGCTCTCACACTGCAACAGGGCTGTGGTTCATTTAAAACATATTTGAAGGTTTTTCTCAATTTTGTTTGGTTGTTTGTTGTGAGACAAAGTCTCACTATGAAGCACAGATTGATCTGGAACCTACTATGTAAACCAGGCTGTCCTCAAACCCAAAAGGTCTGCCTGCCTGTCTTCCCTGTGCTGAGGTAAGAGGGGCACCAATAGTCCCCAGCTGTTTTGTATTTTTAAGACAATCACTCTAGCTAAGCACACACCTGTGACATCCTACTCAGGAAGCTTACACAAGAGAATCACTGCAAGTCTGAGGCCAGCCTGGCCTCCTTAACAAATTGCAGGCTAGTCTGGGATACAGAGTGAGAAAAAAGGAAGTTATTGTAGACTGTTTTTACTCTGTAAGAAATCCCAAGTCAAATAGAATCAATCAGTCTATCACACAGGTCAACCCCTCCTTGGCGCACCTCAGCATTGTCCATGGCTGTTTTCAGTATACTGGAGTGTGCATTTACAGCCTGAACTGCAGCATTCTGGGCTGTAATAGCCTGCAGAGTGACCGATGCAGTTTGGTTCAGAGCATCTTCTAAACTCTTGGCTAGAGCTGAAAAAAAGAAAGAACAATTAAAAACAAATTCTCCTTACAAATAACCAGTTTTCCTCTTTTTTTGTTTGTTTGTTTGTTTGTTTGTTTTTTGAGACAGGGTTTCTCTGTATTGTTTTGGAGGCTGTCCCAGAACTCGCTCTGTAGACCAGGGTGGCCTCGAACTCATAGAGATCCGCCTGCCTCTGCCTCCCGAATGCTGGGATTAAAGGCATGTGCCACCAACGCCCAACACTTTTCCTTTTTTCTAAAAGTCTTCTGGTGCAATTAGTTCTCATCAAAAGACCCAATTTCCAGAAAGCACAAGGGTTGTGGGTGGGAATACACACAACCCTAGAGAAATGGCTCAGAGCACTGCTGCTTTTGCAGAGCACCTGGGTTTGGGTCCTAGCACTCATGCGTAGCTCAAAACTGTCTGGAACTCTACTTCCATGGACTTTAATACCCTCTTCTGGTCTTCACAGGTACCAGACACAGCACTCAACACAGATAAAAAAAATCAATAAATCTTTAAAAAAACAAAGTTAAGGGTGGATGGTAGATCTGTCAGCGTTTACTATATTATTTTCACTCTTATAAAGTCTGAATTTTCTAAAATAAGGTGTTGGGGGGAAAGGCTAACAATCAAATGAAGAAAGGTTTAGAACATTCTCATTCTCATACATGTAGCATCATCATTAACTACTTAATTTTATAAAAACTGCACAGACTCACCAGGAAAAAACAAATACCTATTTTCAACTTCTCAGCAAGAGGAAAACCCATAGCAACTCATATGTCCAGGGTACAAGAAGATATTAGTCCAAGGAGAAAGAAATCACGCCAACAAAAAAGTAAAAGAAAAGCTGTGTGTGCTGGTGCTTGCCTATAACCCCAGCACTCAGTAGACGGCAGCAGGAGGATCACCATACTTTACACAGCAAAACCTTCTCTCAAGCAGGGTTGACGAGATGGCACAGCAGGTAAAGGTGCTTGCTGTTGAGTCTAAGAACGTGAGTTCAATTCCTGAAACATGTATGGCGCAAGAAGAGAACTGACTCCCACACAGTCTCTGATCTCCTCGTACACATGCTATGGCACTTGTGCCCCCAAACATATATGCAATAAATTAATAAATGCAATCTTAAAACAGACCCTTTCTAAAACAAAGAAACAAAATTAAACAAACAGCAACAAACAACAAAAAGCAAAGAGAGATTGTAATAGACAGTTTTCTCACAAAAGCACATAAGAAATAAACCCCAACATTAAAAACTGCCCCCCTTTTCTTAATTCTGTTAGTATCTGGAGGAGACGTGATGTGCACTTGTACACAGGTAAGTGAAGAAAGGCAATAGTGAGAAAATACCAAGAAACTGAAATCAAACTGCAGCTTAATCTAAAGAGCAAGGTATCAAGAAAGCAAGAAGGAACCAAGAAAAAAATGTGGTACTTGGATCTTGAGACAGGCTTTGTTAATGGTGGGCATTCAAGACCAGACAACAGTGAATCATACAAAAACTAGGCAGCAGGCAAGTCACCTGCAATGCTACCTTCTTTAGACATCTATCACTATGCTCTAATCCTTGATTTTAAAAAAAAGTGCACATGCATACATTTCTAAGGTTTAAAGGAAAGTTAAGATGCAAAGCCACAATGCTAATTTTTCTCAGTCTGTCTAAACCAAACTCTTGAGAATTTAGACCCACCCTATGGAGACTAGCCAAAGCAACAGACTCTGCAACTCCGATGTATCACTTAAATCAAAGTGCCTGTATGACAAAGAACAGAAAGAAAAGTGGAGAAAATATGAACTCAACATGTAATCTTATACCTCGGGAGACTGAGGCAGAAGAACTGTGACGTCAAGGCCATCCTGTGCTACACAATAAGGTCAAAATCCATCTGAGCTACTCATGGAAAAAAGCATCAGAGACAGACAAGAAAGAAAGGGGGAGATACGACCATTATGGAAAAATGGGAAGACAAAAACATTTCACTGAGAATTCTTCTATTTTCCTAACATTCTCCTAACAAGGCCAAGAAGGAAAGAGAATGCACACTTAAAGCAAAAAAAGAACCACTCAAGTCCAGGGCTTACATAGATGCCCTACACCTAGGGCTCCTTCTTCCCTATCCATTCTCTCTCACAGTGGCAGAACCAACAGGGTGTCAAAGAAACAGAGCCAGGTGCAGCACCAGGAAAAACAAGTGATGTCGCCACAGAGAAAATTCATGACATCTGCTGGAGAATTTGAAAGTAAATGTCTGTTAAGCAAAAACTTCTTTTATACCCCATTATTTCCAAAGTCACTAATACACAGTGGTATAGTGTAATGAGTGACAGCCTACACCTCCTGTAAACAGGAGCATCTCTTACCATTTTATATGGTAAATAGGGAGATGGCTCAGTGGGTAAAATGCTTGCTGCTCAAGCATGAGGACCTGAGTTTACATTTCCCACCAACGGTAAAGGCTGGGCATTGCAATAAGTGCCACAATGCTGGTGTGGACAGTCAGGCAGACCCCAGGGGACCCAATGACCAGTCAGTCTAGCCCAGTAGTTCTCAACCTTCTTAATGCTACAACCCCTTAATACAGTTCCTCATGTTGTGATGACCCCCAACTATAACTTTTTTTGTTGCCACTTCATAACTATAATTTTGCTATTGTTATGAATCATAATGTAAATATCTGCTATACATACGGATGGTCTTAGATGACCCCCAAAGGGGTTGTAACCCACAGGTTGAGAACTACTGGTCTAGCTGAAACAGCAAGCTGGAGGTTCAATAAGAGATCTTGTCTCAAAAATTAGGTGGAGAACAATATAGGAAAATATCTGAAGTCAACTTCTGGGCTCTAGACATTCATGTACAGGTGAATGAACCGAATACACACAGACAACACAAAAGAACACAGAACTGAAACTCAGGAGGAAATATACTTGTTTTGCTAAAGACTAGCACATGTAAAACACCCTCTTTCCAGAGAACACCAACAGAGTCCAGAGTGGAGGTATTATAGGATGCAGTATGAGCCACTAAGGCTCAGACTCAAGCATACAAACTTTGTTTGTTTCTTTGAGACAGGGTTTCTCTGTGTAGCCTCACCTGTCATGGAACTAGCTAGCTGTCCTCAAACTCACAGAGATTCACTTGCCTCTGTCTCCCAAATGCGACATCACCATCTGGTTAAGCATACTAACTTTAAAGGTTGAAATATTCCAGTTCTGTTTCCTGGAGTTATATGAAAACTTTGTACTAGAAATAATAAAATGGATTTGGAATGTTCATCAGTAACACCTCATGTCACCTGGGTAAAAGCAGTTTTGAGAGCCGGGCGGTGGTGGCGCACGCCTTTAATCCCAGCACTCGGGAAGCAGAGGCAGGTAGATCTCTGTGAGTTTGAGACCAAGCCTGGTCTACCAAGTGAGTTCCAGGACAGGATCCAAAACAATACAGAGAAACCCTGTCTCGGGAAAAACCAAAAAAAAAAAAAAAGCAGTTTTGAAGGAAAGATGGTGGGGAGCTAGGCAATGACATAAAGAAAGAAGACAGTAGTTGGATGACAGGCTGGGAAGATGGATGAAGAGGACAGCTACAGATAACTTGATTTACATACACTCCATCTCAACTTGTTCTCGCTTTTCCTGTTGCGCGAGGCGAGCTGCGACTTCTTCAGGCGGTCGTTCCCTTACAGAAGATGAGAATGCTTCCTCTTGCAGCAAAAGTGAACAAGAGGAAAGCAAATTTCAACAGATTTTTAACAGCTAACAGGGATGCAAAGTAGTGATGACAATGCAGAGTGGTAAGGACTCAAACATCACCCTCTTACAATTCCAAGGGAAATGAGGATTTCAATATTAACATATTTTCAAAGATTACATGAGACTTTCAAATTTAAATCTTTCCTAGGCGAGTCTGAAGGCTGAAAACCAGTCTAGGTACACATTTCCAAAGTATTGAAGGGTCAAGGCAATGCAGTTCTAGTGAGAAAACATCTATAGCATAACACATGAATAATTAAACTACCTGAGGTTACAGATGTGGGTTTTCCTTCACCACTGTCGGAACAATCGGTTTTTACAGCGTCCTCATGCTGAACCGCGGGGGCTGGGACCGAAAGTGTATCACCTGCTGCAGAAATAATTTGAGCTGCCCCTGTAGGTGCTACAAATACATGTTACGCATGGTACTTGGACTACACTTAACCCTTAGGCAAGAATCTACTGTAGAGCACGTCACATTATACTACTTAAAAATACAACTCCTTCTATGCCCTGTGTTTGAGGAACTACAAAAACACAGAACATTAACAAAGGTTGAGAAGGCACCTTTGTTAGCACCTACAGACACTTTAATCCCTCTTACCTCAAGAAAGGTTTCTAGTTACAGTGCAAAAACTAAGCACAGAGAAGTGGACATCAGAGTAATACATCAGAAAGGACCAGCAAAAGAAACAGAAATGTGTGTTGAAGGAGGAGAGACAAAAGAAAGCAATTTGGTAGAGGGTCTCTAAGGGTCCTGAAGAATGGCCAAGGTAAAGGAAGACATGAAAGATGCGGAACAAGATGACAGTTTGAACATACGGAAGACTATATTCATAGTGAAGACAGTGTGTGAAGAAAAGAACTCACTTAAAAAAGAAATTCATTTATAAACAACAATGCTTATAGAAGAGAAAAACAGTTCTAGAGATGAAATGGGTAGGAAACCAGTAAAATGAAACCAATTTTGTTTTAAAAATTAAAGGCCCCATTCAAAAGATAAACCTGTATTATTAACAAAACCTATTGACTGGTTTCTCTGTTTCTGCCCTGGCTTACTTATCTATTTACCATACTGTTTTTGAAGCAGTCTCATGTAGTCCAGGCTATTCTTTAA